TAAGTTTCTCGCCATGGTGGTCTCGGCAGTTAGCAGGCGAGTCGGCGACCACACGGCAACGGTGGCCATTGATGCTTACATGGTTGTCCACAGCTTACCCAAAATTTCGAGCTAAAATCTATTTTTAACCCTTTACCTTATCAAACTTATGGATTTTAATTCATTACCTTATATTATAACACTTTTAACCTTTTACTTTAATAAATTTGTAGATTTTAACAATTTACCTTATATTACAATACTTTTGACCCATAATCTTATACTATGATACTTTTAATTATACTATGATACTTTTAACCCCTCATCTTATATTATGACACTTTTGACTCTTTACCTTAATAAATTTATAGATTTTAATCATTCACTTATACAAATTGAATATAAGAACTCTTATTTAAGGTCAGGTTATAAGGTTTTATTAGTTTTGTTAGTTGACTGTTAATTGTATTAACTGACTGTTGGCATTCTATTAACATTCTGTTAACAGAATTAACAAATAAAATTGAATTTAAATTTCATGTTTTTTATAACGGAATGCTAACGAAATGCTAACAGCTACTAACAGTCAACAAATAAAATTAATAGTCAACTAATAGAACTAATAGAATATTATAACTTGATGTTAAGTGAGAGCTATTTTTTTTTAATTCGTATAGGTGAGAGCTAAAAGTGTCATAGTATAGGTGATCGGCTAAAAGTGTTATAGCATAAGATGAAGAGTTAAAACTTACAAACTTATTAAAGTAAGGGGTTAAAACTGTTATACTATAAGGTGAGGACCTAAAACTTATAAACTTTTATTTAAGGTCAGGTTATAACGTTTTATTAGTTTTGTTAGTTGGCTGTTAATTATATTAATTGACTGTTTGCATTCTATTAACATTATGTTAACAGAATTAACAAATAAAATTGAATTTAAATTGAATTTAAATTGAATTTAAATTTCATGTTTTTTTATAACGGAATGCTAACAGCTGTTAACAGTCAGCAAATAAAACTAACAGTCAACTAACAGAATCAATAGAATATTATATCTTAATGTTAAGTGAGAGCTGTTTTTTTTAATTCGTATAAGTGAGAGTTAACAGTCAGCAAATAAAACTAACAGTCAACTAACAGAACTAATAGAATATTATATCTTAATGTTAAGTGAGAGCTATTTTTTTCAATTCGTATAAGTGAGAGTTAAAAGTGTCATAGTATAGTTGATTGGCTAAAAATGTTATAGCATAAGATGAAGGGTTAAAACCTACAAACTTATTAAAGTAATGGGTTAAAACTGTTATAGTATAAGGTAAGGATCTAAAACTTACAAACTTCTTAAAGTATAAGGTTAAAAGTAAGTTTTTGCCAAAATTTTGAGCCATTTAAGAAATGAATGTCTCAATATAGAAATGATTAGATGTTTAATTAAAAGAAAAAATTTTTAGGGGAGAGTGACAAGACAGGACAAGATTACACTTTTAATGCTGCCTCTTGCTTTCCAATGATTAC